TCCTCTCTTAATTCAAATTGGTGCATTGTACATTAAGTATTTCAAAGCCAAAGCAACCATCGTTGACATAGCTAGATTTTACGGAGTAAATTTCCTCCGAAAGAATATCATTGATAAGTACAGTGTTCACTACTTACATTACAGTTTGGTAATAACAAAAATCTACAAAGTAAATTTCTTCTCTAAATTCACATTGCTGCATTGTACATTCAGTTTTTCAAAGCCAAAACAACCATCGTTTACATAGCTATATTTTACGGAGTGAATTTCATCCCAAAGAATATCACTGATACCGTTCACAACTATATTTACAATTTGAAAATAGCAAAAATCTACAGGGTCAATTTCCTCTTAATAATATCCATTGATACAGTGTATATTCAGTCTTTTAGACAGCAAGATTTCATGGGATAAATTTTCCCCCAAAACTTTTCACTACTTGCATTTTGAGTTTACAGTTTGAAAAAAAAACAAAAATCTATAGGATAAATTTCCATTCAAATAACATTCATTGGTGCAGTGTATATTAAGTCTTTCAGACAGCTAGACTTTACGAGATAAAAACCCCTCAAAGAATATCACTGATAGAATTTTCACTATTCCCATCAAACGTAAACATTATTCTTTCAAAATAACGAAATATACAGAGTAAATTTCCTCTCGAAAATGACATTAATGCAGTGTACAGTCAGATTTCTAAAACCATAACAACAATCCTTTTTAGAGCTAGACTTAACGGAGTAAAATTCCCCCCAAAGAATATCACTGATACATATATTTTTACTATTCCTATCAATCGTAAAGATTACACATTGAAAATTAAAAGATCCACATGGAAAATATTCTTTCAAAAATAGAAAGGATGCAGTGTAGAATCATCTTTTGTTTATATACTAGCATTTTATCCAGAAATAATGAATATAATATCAATGTGCACTTTCTCATGCATCATTATTGATTAGAACACATTATCAAGAAATGAGAGACAAACATGAGGGCTGTCATAAATATGCCATCTAACTACTAGATCCCATAATACAAAGAACATAAATATGTTGTAATGCCAAAGAAAAAATGACCAAAATATGAGAATGGCGCATAAAGTATGAACAGCATGGATTAAGTAAAACAACAAGTTCTTGTACTCATGCTTTTGTATACTTGTTCTAGAAAAATAGTAAACAAATGTTTGATATATTGTCCGAAATGTTCTGTATTTCTTTTTTCTTTTCGTTGTCTTTTTGACTGAGTCTGAATTTCTTTTGGAAGTATAAACATCTGTTTCTGCAATATATAAATGTTACTGCAATTTAAATTCAAGAAAAAATTCATATGAGAATTCAAATGTTCATACCTTTAAGATACTTGGCACCCAATTATTTACTGAAACAAATGACACTGAGCAGTAATAATAGGAAACGTTAATAATGAGTAATTTATCTTTTACCTCTTTTAAGTTAATTTAACTTATATGACCTTTGTCTACAAAGTGTTTTTACACCACTGAAAGTAAAATAAATTCAACCCCAAATAAGTAATTTTGTAAGTTAACATTGCACATATATCAATGATTGATAAATGCTACAATAGGCTTGTGGGCCACAAAGCTTACATTGTAAAGAAGAAGCAGAAACCTGTTAAGTGTTGAAAAGGGAAAAGTCAATATTGGCTTTAGATTTGATAGGAGAAATAGGAATTGAATTTTGTCCCACTCGAGGATGCTTCCAAAAGTTTAGTTAAAATTGGTACATAATTCACTTTGATTGCCTCTTGAGGCCCCAACTTACCCCTTTTTGCTTAATTTGAATAAATTTAGTGCTGTCTGTCTTCTAAACAATAAACAAAGTCTTAATCGCCAATGTTATGTTAACGGTTTACGGAGCACATGGTAGAACAAAACAAAATTACTAGTAACCATATTTACAGTGTAGATGAAGGTTTGTTGTCCTGGAATTTAAATGTCTGGTGTATTGTAATAGCTATTGACTAGGGATGTCAATTTTACTCGCACAGCTTAGTCGAATAGCCGGATGCTTTAGTCGAACGATAGTCGAATATTCGTTTAATTTTAATTATTTTTTCGCACCAGTTTTACTGTTTATCCTTTACAGATTAGTTTACAATATTTAACCTAGAAGCTATCACCGATATACTAGTACAACGAATTTCCTAATTGTAAACATGTACGTATAGTGCCATAAAAATTGTACATCAATATGTATCCAATGTATTTAATATAAAAATTAATATTTTAACTGCAAGTTTAATCTAAATGCAGGATACCAAACGCCCGTATTTGTTCTTTCTTTACATTACGACGGTACATGTACCCAATAATTGAAGCCAATTATTACATGCCTGTCAATGATCTTTGACAAGTAAACAATTAAAGCACGTCTGTTATGAAAACAAAAAGAGGGCGAGAGCTTGGGATAAATTTAAATTATGATATTTTGTACAAACAATCAATATTAATGATTGTATGAAATTAATATCAGAAAAAGAAAACACGGTTTAAGTACTCTCATATCTACAGACCCCGATTTATATGTATTAAATTTTACGATTTTGTAATAGCTGTTTACTAGTTATTAATATTTTTTCTGAACAGACTTGTTTGCCGACATACAAATAATTTCCTTTGAACAAATACCATACCCTTAATTTTTCATTTGAAAATTATGGTCTGTATATAAATGAAATGGGCAAATATAAGTTTATTACCTTGAATTCAAAATTACTTTGATAAAACACATTTATAACGAATAATCGACTAAAGAAATTTTAGTCGATCGTCGATATGATCGAACGATAGTCGAGTACTCGATTATTCGTTGACATCCCTACTATTGACCCAAAGCAATATCCTTGTCCAAGAAGGATATGGAAATAACGAACAGTATTCAATATCAAAGTTCATAAAACAGTACAAAATAGAGGCAGTGGAAACACTGACCTTACATGCCCCTCTTTTACATTCTGATACACAGTACTAAAAGATAACAAAAATATACTGAGTAGTCAACCTAGATATATGAATATGAAGCAAAATGTTTAAACTTGCCTCTGTTCGATGCATCAGTTCCTGCCTTCCTTCGCTCTTTGCTCATTGATGGTACATTCCTTTTAACTTGCATTTGTACCTAAAGAAAACAAAAAAATTATTTGAAAATCAAACATGTTTAAAGAACATGTCTTAATATCTTTCATTTATATATTAAAAAGATTTTAATATATTTCATTCTAATACATGCATATACATATGCTATTTTATAACATTGGCAAGACGTATACCGTTATGACTTAAAATTCTGAAATAAAAGTTGTTTACATAAAATCTGCGTCGAAAGATTTTCTAACCTGTGGTTCATCCAACTCTTTATCAACCATTTCATGAAGCTCTGGATTAATTCTAGATTGCTCTGCTTGTCTATCAAGATTGTCTTTCTGTTTTGGTAGCAAGGGAAGTAGCCATCGAGCATGTTCTTTGGCATACTCTAATTGCATCCTTGTATCAGACTGAAGGTCCCTTAAATACGCCGTAAATCTCCTCCACCACTGGAATTGGTTCTGATCGGAAAACAAAAATTTGGATCTATCAATATTTTTTTCAAGGGCATCAATATTGATTTTGTGAAAATTTTGAGGTTTAAGAATTTTAGGTAGTCCTCTTGGAATTTGTTTTAAAATCGGCCTTTGAAGTTGTTTCCATTGGCTGTTATGGCTTCCTTTATATTCTGTAATTATCTTATTTTCTTCATTCCGTCGAAATCTAAAGTGATGGGGTTTTGTGTGATGAGCTACTGAGTTGAGGCATGGAGTAAGCCAATTTTTAATATCGTAGAGTCCTCTAAGTTGCCTTGTATTGGGGATAAGTGATAAGAGTCTTGGAATAGTTCCTGCTTCGTTCCTTCTTAGCTGGTCTGCAATTTTGCTGAATCCAGCATCAATATCTTCATGGGTATGTCCCACGAAGAGAAATGATAAATGCACCTAGAATAAAATGCATAATATTTTTTTTAAAAACATCATAATAAAAATATTTACAGGGCAACATATGGAAAACTAAAGGTACTGTGAGCGATGAGCTCACTAAAAGATACCCCCGCCTCTGTACCTCCATATAGTTATAATGGCAATGTCCATGTTTTGCTGTGGCCGGGAAACCCAAAATATGTGTCAGATCAAAAAGTAAAATAGGAGGTGCACAATGGCAATATGTTATAAAGATTCTGTGAAAGTTTCATCAAATTTCATTCAGTGGTATGAGAGAAGTTGCTGATAAGAGATGAGAACCCCAAAACGTAACAAACAGATGGACGGACAGAGAGCTATACAGACGGACGGACGGACTGATGGAATTAACGATTACTATATACCCTCCCGCTTTTCAAGCGGGGGATATAATGAGTTTGGTTATCACATGTCCAATGAATTGTTTAATTAGACGACACAAAATGAAATCCCACGCTTGGTAACTCTTTTTTTATTAAAATTTTTATTAAATGTACTGGTAACAAAATCATTCCAAAAACATCTTTCATATTATAATGACAGTATTATAAACAAGAGGCCCAGAGGCCACATTGCTCACTTGAGCAAATCGGCTAGGAAAAAACACAATTAAGATCAGAACTGAAAGTTAACTGAGGGTCGGGGGCTTGAATTTTAATACTACTTGAGAATGTCTTCATATTAATGCAGCATATGATTTTGCTGTTCTTGATAAACAATTTAAAAATCAAAGTCCTTAAGGGCCTGCGAGTTGACTCGCTTGATTCAATTGAGCTTTTTCATACATCTGGGCACCATACCTTACTATATTCAGTTTATTTTGCATTTTAAGAGATTGAATATAACATGTCTGGTCCATGTTCGGTTCATAAACAAAGTGTATATTGCTTTTCCTTTATATATACAGGTTGGCAATAAAGGCCTTCCTTATTTTGACTGGATTCTTTAATGAATTTAAGCACATTAGCTGAAGTGGTCAGTGTTATGGAATAATTAGGTTAAAGATTCCCACAGCAAATCTGGATTCTAAAAATAGATTTTCAACAACAAATAGCTGCAACTAATGCGAGCAGCAGGTGTTTGTGTTAGGGAGTATTCTAGGTCAATTATAAATAAACTTCAGATGGGAAGATTAGATCCACCTAACATGCTTGAACATATATTCATACGCAGTAATTGCATGTACATCGTACTACAGATATTAAATCAAAAATTTCTTTAAAAGCATGAAGGCATAAATAATGTTACAGTGTGAAATTTTATATAGTTTTTACCTCTTAAGTTTATACTATCACTCAAACCAAAGCATTTTTTGCTGAACTATTATGTTTGGCGTATGGATCACCTTGATGAATGTGTGAGAAATTTTACAGCTCTGAAACGGCTGCGTCAACAGGGAGTAGCTTGCTACGCAAGCCAACTCAAAAAATCTTCCTATATGTTACATGCACTTCGTAATATTCTGAATTTGATTCCCAAATGTTTCCCTTCCTACCCAAAAGGACCATGATGTGAACAAATTCAAATTTTCAATATATGAAAATGCTTACATGTCAATATGACTTTTTTTGTTCTTGGGATTTTTCCTTATATTTTTCAATGTAAAACTTTGATCGATCATTGTGGATCAACCCCACCCTTGAAGTTATGATTTTAACAAATTTTATTCTACACTACCTGAACATTTTTAAAATAAATTTTAATGTTAAACTTAATCCTATCCCTTGGGGTTATGATTTGAACAAACCAGAATCTACACGACCTGAGGATGATTCCATGTTAATATCACTAAGTACCTAAGAAGAATATTTTATAAGATTTCTCTATCTAATTTTTTGTGAAACTGATCAGCAATTTTGGCCTCATCCTATTCCCGGGGTCATGACTTGAACAAACTTGAATCTACTTTACCTGAGGATGATTCTACATGAGTTTCATCTTTCCTGTCTCAATTGTTCTTGAGAAGAAGATTTTCCTTATACACTCCTATGTAAAACTTTGACCAGCCATTGTGACCGAAACCTATCCCTGGGGGTCATTATTTGAAAAAAAATGAATTTACTGTCTTTCTGACATACTTTCTATTTATCAATAAAAATATGCATTATGACAACTAAATTTAATTGATTATTGTTCATTTGATTTTAAATATTGTGACATTCCATGCAGAGACGCCACTGAATAAAGACGTAAATTTATATTTGAATCCTTTTCATTTGGGTTGTAGGCAGTTACACTTTTGAGTGGTCCTCCTACACTTTTACAGGGCTTGTGTGTCTTATAAGGAAAAAGACGCATTTGTCACTACACTACCTGAGGATGATTCCACATCAGTTTCATCTTTCTTTTCCCAGTGGTTCTTGAGAAGAATTTTTTTTAAATGCCATGAATTTTTCACTTATTTAAAATTATCTTCCCTTGAAAGAGGGCGTGGCCCTTCATTTGAATAAAATTGAATCCCATCATCCAAGGATACTTTGTGGCAAAATTGGTTAAAAATGGCCCAGTGGTTCTTGAGGAAATGAAAATATGAAAAGTTGGCGACAACGGATATATTTTGATCAGAAAAAGTTTATAACATGATGACAAAGTACTTCGAAATCCACCATTTACTTCATGAACAGAAAAATTAATTTTATTTATTAATTATTAAATTAATAATAGATGGAGAGAAACGTTTGCGTTTCAAGTTTATCACTTCTATTAGAAAATAAAATTTGTAAATCAAAAGTTCAAGTTACATTAAGCTAGCTCTTGTGGGTATGTATTTGTGGGTATCCTTGGGTTTCATGAGCTTTACTGTACAACTCTCATTTTGAATTGACAGGTAATCAAAATACCGAGACGCGGTCAAATGCTAGATTACACATGTTTTTTATTACTGCAGAGTGAACATGTTTTAATATGATCGAATTTTATAAAGATACCAACTTAATGTTTTTAAATAAACATACAGTCGCCCTTGTGGCACAGTGGTTAGAACGTCTGCTCTAGAGTTGCGAAGTAAAGAGTCAATCCTTACGTGGCGGGTTCGATTCCAACAGCGCGACGTGGAGAGCGGTCCTTCGGACGAGACCGTATAAACCGCGGCCCCGTGTCGCAGTAAGTGCTGGCACGAAAAAGATCCCTCACTGCTCAAAGGCCCTGAGTGTCGAGGATAGGACAAAATGTGTAGCCCTCGACCGGCAATTGTTGGCGTCTCCATATGAGTGAAAAATTCTCGAGAGGGACGTTAAACTACATACAGCCAATCAATCAATATACATACAAAGCAAATCTATGAAAAGTATATTCTCACCTTTTGTATTAATTATGAGGTAAAACTTTAACGATTTCTAAATCAAGATTTTTTTTTGTGAATTGTCCAAATTTCAACAGGTCCGCTTTAATATCATTATATTTCCGGAAGTAACAATCTTAAACTTTGTTTACTTAAGTGGTTTACAATTCATATTTTCACTTTGAAATTTTCGAATTGCTTCATTGATTTGAGTAAAAATATTCATATCACTGTCTTCAGTTTGATCGAGAGAGTTTTTTATTATCAAAAAAATTCTTGCATTCGATTTGCTACCTGTTCGCGGGAGTCCGTTCGCGCAGGGTCCGTTCACCCAAAAATTTCTTCGCCCAAAATCTTGTTCGCCCTATAAAAGTTTCGCCCAATACTTATATATTATATTACCGGTATATATACTTATATATATTATAACTTATTTGAAATAAGATTAACATGCATTTTTATTTCCTTTACGAACTTTGGTTATTTTTTCTCAAACCAGGAACAATGTTTATTTAGTCTTATTTAATTTTTGATTTGATTCTTACATTTATTAATGATTTAGTGTTTGCACTATAGTTAATTAGATGACTAATATCGATGTTAATTGGGGGGATACACACGTGTTGTTTTTACGAATTGGGCTTTGTTTTGAAAACAATTAAGGGACTGAGATGTTAATAGATCCCTTATAGAACTGAGCAGCGGATCCTGAAGTTTTACCTTTGAAGTATCTCCCTTTGATCTTAAAAACTGTAAAAAGAAATCTGGGCGAACGGACCCTGTGCGAACGAGAAATTGTGAGAACGGACTCTGGGCGAACGAAAAATCGGGCGAACGGGATATAGGGCGAACAATTTTTAGGGCGAACGAACATGGAACCAAAATAATTGGTACTCTTTTCCCTATAGAGACCCAAACTTTTAAAATGTTAAGTGAATTTAAAGTCATGAAAAGTGATTTTTTGCTCATAATCCGAAAATTGATGACACACTGAGAGGTAAATAGCAAAAAAAAAAAAATTTGATTCATGTGTTCTCAAACAGCTTCCATTTTTAGGCCTCGTCTAACAGTAAACTACTAGATGGAGTATGTCACGTGAACACGTTTACAAATTGTTCGACATTGCTGTACTTGTAATTTGTTAACAGTAATTGTACAAGATGCTGGAAAGTTCAATAAAAAAATAATTACCTCTTTAAAGATATTCTTCCATATTAGCAGTTCACAAAATCCAAGTGTATATCTATTTTTATTCTCTCTGAAGCAATTGTCTGCCTGAATATACAAGGTTGGTGGAAGAAAGTTACCCTATGAAATAAATTAGATGTTTAGCTTATTTGACATTGGCTTCCTCATTGTGAGAATATATTAGCTGATGTTTATTAAGCTTAAGAAACATGGGGAAGACAAAAGAATCTGTAAAAAGCATGAAATGCATATTCTTTTCTTTGCCTACGTTCGATGAAATATTAAAATGGATTTTTTAGAAATACGAGAAAACCAACTGAATCAATATTTCATTCATGTCATTTAATTATTAATACAGTGTTATATTGAAATACCTCTACATTTTCCAGCAAATCATATAGTGTAATTATTTGATACAGAAAGAGATGTTTATGTCAAAATTGGAGGGAATATTTACCATTTGCAGGCTTGCTCCATATAATTCCTTTAAAATTGTATTAATGACCATGTTTGAATCATGGGCATATTCATTAATATCCAAGTATTTGGTGAACTTCTCCAATCCATGATTAATGACTCCCTGGATGTGAGTTGACAACAAATTCGCTACATCTAGATCGTTAGATCGTCTACCAAGAAAGTGAGGAAGGTTCGTTTTCACTGTAAAATTTGAATTAATTCATAAAATAATATACAAACTGGATAAATGGAAAGTAAAACATTCAATATAATCACTTCAAAATAAATGTGATCATCTATTATATGATGCATTCTTCATTTAGTCATGATTACATGTTAACTTTGGTACTTATGTACGTGTACTTACTCTGATCCATCCCATCTATAATGATCGACATAAATCTTCGAGAATTTTCTTTCGCTTGATTCCGTTTGGAATAGTAGTATTTTCTCTCCATCCTAAAATTCAATATATAGATTTTTGTGATCAAATGTCCGCGGCCGGTAAGAAACGAATTTAAATTATTTATTTGATTTTTTAAATTTTTACTTACATCTGTCGGTAATTATGTGCCTTGATGAGACCCTTTATTTCTTCACGCTCTAAGGGATCTCTTGTCACCTGGAGCTGAGCATCCAATTTAGTACACGTGTTACACTTTGAAAAAGAGTTCGTCTAAAAAAATATTATATAAAACATATAAAAAATATAGATTAAATTGATAAACCATGATTATTACTGTAATACTAACGGACTTATTTTTAAGGACCTCCTCTTCATCTGAATAGTGCAAACCTTAAGAACGTGTTTGAGTGTTACAACTATAAAGTAATATAATTTTTTAAAATAAAGCAATAGACAGTTCTCCGATTTTTGAAGAAAGGAAGTACAAGACAGTAAATCATAAATGTCAGTAAATAAAGTACCTAAAACATTTTATGGACACAGAGTACATTTCTTCTTCTAATCATAATTCGTCTTTACAAATGGATATGTAATTTCAATTAGTATACAAAGTTTCTAGTAGTGTTCTAAACTTTTAATTAAATAATTTGCAGAAAAAAATTATTTAAAGGTAGATTTTATTGCAGTCTTACCTGTTTTATCTTCAGGTGTGGAAATTTCTCCTTCCAAATCTTGTAAAAGTTTGCCTTTGATACACTTCGTTGCATTTTTTCGATTTCTTCCTCAACGTATTGGTTATAAATGTCTATTTTTCTAGTTTTATAAGCTAAAAGAATAACTCCTTTGTCAGGCATCTGATCCCCATGAAACAAGGCAAAATCATGCATCCATTCTATCGCTTTTTCTGTTGTTGTGTGGTGTTGTTTATAATTTCGGAAGCCTGCGGAAACTGCACCTCGCTCAAAATTAGCTACGTATTTGTAATAGAAGGACTTATCAAGTCTATATAAGTTTTGAAAACATTTTGAGCATATTTGTTTTCCATCTTCGACTGTAAATCTTATTGATCTTTCTTTGTTAATGGCCTCCGAATACTTATCAGAGAACCATTCTACCCTGCCTTCAAAATTTTTCGTCCAGACTTTTGTTCTTTCTCGCTTTACAAAATCAACTGATATTCCTGCAAGACAGGACAATTTGCATCTTCTGGATCTGATGAGGCAGTTCACGGCAGTTGATATGGCTTTCTTTAGTAACTTTTGCTGGTTTGATAGTGCTTTCACTAGAATTAAACAAATCATATGTTATCTTCAAACAAGATATGTTTCATCGAGTGAATTAAAAAGTGTGTTGATGAAATAAATTTTTGGTTTGAATAAATTTTATTGTAATTTCTAATTACAAAGGGATTGGGCACAAGTTTAAAAACTTATTATTTTTTCCAAAGAATACACAATAAAAAAAATTAGCATTCAGATGGCGAAGAACTTAACACACCTGATATTTTCTTAGTTCTTGATGACGTTTTTCCGTTGAGATTACGTGTATTTTCAAAACTACTCTCAAAAGATAGATCGAATTGCGCCTCTTCGAAAGTAGAACTTGACCCTGCTATGCTACTACATTCTAGCACATCAAATTCCTGAAAAATTACAATATTTATATATCATGTATATAGCATGATGTTTTACACACAATATCCTGATTGATTTTACCCTCATTCCAACGCAATTCACGTTTTTTCCCTTCGCCTATAGATTAGTTAGGCAAAAATTGGTTAGTTCACTTAGTTGTTGTTTTATCGCAAATCTCGCCTGAAAGTATTACACTGCGGCCTAAATAGCGTTGCCTTGAGTATTGATACGTACATTTGGATTTGACAATTGAACAATTTGAATCACGGGGTTCATTCCAAAAAACAAGCATTTTAATTGGTTGATTAGGACCCGCCCACTCTCGTGCAATATCTGCAGCATAACGCCCGAGTTGGAAAGCGTCCAACGGCCATATGATTGTCTAAAATTGATGGTGACTCTTTGAACTAAACACAAACACACACAAAAACAAACTATAAAATAACTTTTTAGCATGGATATATTCCTTTCACAGACAGTTCATGTTTATAGCATTGGATGACACACCTATTTTTATTTTTTTATTTTAATTCTGACGATTTTCTATTCACGGCATTTTTCGTTTTCGGTGTTGTACCGCGTACTTACGTAGAAAGCATATCCAACTTATATGTGGTAAAACATTGGATTTATTCAAAAGTTTACTGTTTTTTTTTTTTTTTTGTTACGACTATCAAAAATACCATGTTTCAAATGTGTGTGTGCTACTGCTTTTTTAACTGTCGTCATGGTGATATTAAAACAAGTCGAAATCATTGTGTTTTTTTTTTTTCAATGTAGCGCACTTTTTACGGTAATGGCGAATACATCAATATTATTCATTTGTTCACTATAAAATAATTAATATCACTAATACATTTTCCAAATTTAAGTACGTTTTAGTTTTATTAATATACTGAAGAAATAAACGGGAAAACGGCCCCGTTTTTCAATCGCAAAAATATGCCATGTGTGACGTGTATTGTTTTAAGTCAACTTCTGCCGGCTCTTAATCAGATTTTATTTAAGAATTCAAGATCATTATACAGGTTACCCAAACTCACAATAATATCAGATAGGTATTACATTTACATCAAGCATGTACTTATTGGTCCACTATATACTTCCGAAGTCTTCGCTCAGTAAGTAAAGGCCTATCACTTGTTTACAGCTGTTTCCATGTGAAAGTGGGTGGGCTTATAGAAAAGCACCAATAAGATTCTTTGTTGGATATCGCAATTGTTTTTCAGTCAGATTCATCAGTGTCGTCACTCAACGCAATAGTTTATTGGTCCAAGTGTATACTTTGAAGCAAGATTTGCGAAATGCTAACACACGAGGCATAACGCAGGATAGATAAAAACGAATAGCAATACATCACCCGATTTTAAAACTTGGCATTAAATGTTAATTTAAATGTACTTACTGTTGTCTCCATTTCAGCATCAGACCCAAATTGATTTGTGTTTTTCACAGGAGTCGACGAAGTGAATTTTAGACCGGTTCTGCAATACTTTGATACCTATAAACATGATAAATATACGTACATTCACATAATTGTTTATAAATTTAAAACTATTTAATTCTTTGTTTTTACTGTAAATTTTGGAAATGTCAGTATAAACTAGTTCATAATCATTACCAAATCATTTCAATATGAATAATCGATTTTAGCAATTTGTTTATACCAATTTTTTTTTAAAATAATTGAAATTTAAAATTTAAAACAATATGAGCTGCAATTTTTTGAAATTTTTGTTGCAAAACTAATTATTATAAACTATTTCAAGGTCAGAAAATAAGAAGATTTATAAAGTTTTTATAAGAATTAATGCTCATATTTGCAATGGAAGAACTATTTATAAGCTTTTTTGACATGTTTGAAGTTGATACAAAATTACATTATTGTCACCCTTTACCCTTCAGAATTGTTGTCATCTGCTGACTTCAAAGTTTTAATCAAACTATGCAGTTACTATGGTTACAAATAGAATATATAAAAATCAGTCCTCCTTAAATCTTTTCGCTATTTCTTTTACGGAATGATTTTCTTTTTATTTTATCAAACTGTGAAGTTTCCTTCCATTTGATTAATTAGAACTCGTGTTAGCCAATTTTTAAAGCAACATGTTTTGTTAGCACGGAACACATTTAAAGCCATATATGGCGTATGTACAATGAAAATTATTAGACTAAAATTATAAAACTTATTATTTGTATGATTACTTTATATAAAGATAGAAATTTTCCGTAAATTACAAAATCTAAGTCAGTTGCGTTATAAAGATATGACAATTTAATTTGGATTCTCGGAATTTTCTCCGGCTTGGAAGAAAATACAAAAGATTTAAATAACACATTATAGAGAAGATAAAATTGTATTATTAGGTGAAACGAGGCGTTCTCCGTGTTCAGAATTGTATGAAAAGCTTTAATTTAAATGTATTAACTATATTTCTTTACTTAAATGTTTACCTATAGGCCTATAGCACATTGGTCTTATCATTACAGTCAAAAAATTTCTTTACATGTAGGATGTTGATTATCTTAAAAAGTAATATTTAATTCATTATGATACTTTTAAGCAAAAGTTCTGGCGTATAAACTGCACAAATTGAATACAGTTCTGATAGTAAAAGGGTTAAATGTATTTCCATATAGTCTTCTACCTATACAGTTCTGAAAGTAAAAGGGTTAAATGTATTTCCATATAGTCTTCTACCTATACAGTTCTGATAGTAAAAGGGTTAAATGTATTTCCATATAGTCTTCTACCTATACAGTTCTGAAAGTAAAAGGGTTAAATGTATTTCCATATAGTCTTCTACCTATACAGTTCTGAAAGTAAAAGGGTTAAATGTATTTCCATATAGTCTTCTACCTTAGTTTCTGTTCTCGTTGAATGACTTGGAATTTCCATTTCCTTCAAAGGTGTGGAAGTCATAAAGCAGCTTTCGTTTATAGAAATAAAACTCTGAAAAAAAAATTACAGACTAAAGAAGGGATTCAAAAGATGCTGAACTTGAGTAACTGTTAAATTCCATTTCCATGTCTACTCGTTTCAGTTCAAAACCATGGGAAGAAATTATGTGGATCTTCTCCTAGCTTTAAACTGACATCTATCAAAGAGTAATTATAATCTTCATATAAAAGTGATTAGAGACAAATAATGTCAGCTTTGTAGAGGGAAGGATTCAACTTTTGTTTCATATTTAAAATAAAAGCTTAGAAATTTATTTTCAAAGAATGATATGACTATGAGGCCTTTATTGAAAAGGGAGGGGGGTCATAATCCTATACAGGTTCACTAATAACGTGTTTTAAATGAAACAAGTATAATGAAAAAAAAATAAAAGAACAAACAAAAACCACTTTACCCAATTTCAATACAGGATTTTTTTTTTTCCCAAAAAAATTCTTAGTTGGTATATTAGGAGGTGGACATCGAGAACACCTCGGGACAGAAAGTTTTGTGTTTTTCTGTAAAAAGTCCGAGATGTTCCGAATAGCGAAGAAATAGGCTGATTTTACCACATGTACTTGGGGTATGGCCCCCCTTTCCATTTTCTTTTCTTTTTAAATCTGGGGTAAAAGAGTAAACAAAAGTCATTTAAAAGGAAAGGGAAAAAAATTAAATGTTTGAATTTGTAACCGTACACACTTGGGCTCTGCCCCCTTCCATTTTTTTCTACTTAAAAGCTACAAACTGTTTTTAAATATGTCGTTTTCGACTGATACGTGTACATACCAGGTATTCATAAATGTATACAAGAGTTACATTATTTATAACATAATTATAGTAGATAATAGAATAAGAAAAAAAAATGAAAGGGGGGGGGGTCATATCCCTAGAGCCTACGTTTTGTGTTCTTCTGTAAAAAGTCCGAGATGTTCCGAATAGCGAAGAAATACGCTGATTTTAGCACATGCACTTGGGATATGGACCCCTTTCCATTTTCTTTTTTTTAAAATCTGGGGTCGGGACACTTTTTCACTATTTTTGTATTTTAATACTCACTACATATTATCAATAATGTAACTCTTTTGTCTCTATAAGCTGTTTTTAAAAATATCGTGACTCGACCCCAGATTTACATGTAGAAAGAAAAGAGGAAAGGGGGTGGTGTTTCATAGACAAAGATGGGAAGGAGAGTGTCAGTCGAAAATAATTAAAACATCAGATATCGAGGAATTTTGCCTTTGAATGTGTTGTAGGATAGGCGTAAACAGGCAAGGTAACCTTTATCTCAAGGGGGATAACTCCCAGTGTCTTAGACATGTTAAATAGCTTCAGATCTGTAACTCTCCGAAAAAATATATATTGATAGACCCGATCTATCATTAAATTTTTAGAGAGCTACAGATCTGCAGCTATGTCTTAGAGGTATTTTCTAAGATTCTGCTAATCTATCTATCAATTCCTTTTTTTTTTTACTTTATGTGCCACCTGAAAAATTAATAAAAAGTCGTATAAGGTACCATTTTTCATGGAGGGGTCTTTTTCAAATGAAAATATTTAAATAAAATCGCAAATATTTTCAAATAATTTTCTTATTCAAATGTTTTATATCATACCGGTAATTACTCTCTCTCTCTCTCTCTCTCTCTCTCTCTCTCTCTCTCTCTCTCTCTCTCTCTGAGAGATTCGAAGTACATACATGTATATAGACATAATGGTCATGATTATAAATTTAATCATTTCTTGAATCGAATAAAATGAGCAGTCCGATTACAAATATTAAATGCTGGTGCAGTATGCAGGAATTAAAATGCTCTGCTTAGATAAAATATAACTTTTATCAAAACAAAGGATAATTCGGGTTCTTATCGGTCAAATTTGGAGGAAGTGTACAAATATTGCCTGACTGCATCCTTTAACACCCCCCCCCCCAAGAAATTTTCATTTACACATATTTTATATAATTTACCCTCAATATTTCAAACCTAATTCAAAACGCTTTGAAGATAACCATTAAATGCATTAAGAATGTATACACTAAGGTATAAGCTTATGGGCGTTGGAATCTTCAAAATTCCGTGTTACTAAAACGCAGAACGGAAACAATAATTAGTTTAACTGAGACTATAAGAAGCGGCTTTCCTTATGTAATACATGTACATGTAGTTTATATCTAAATTAAAAGTTTTGAAAGCCATGCATTTCAGGTATCCATGTCTTTCCCTCAGAACACGTAGCAAAGATATGTTTAATGGTCAATAAAATAGACATTAATGACTAACACTCCTTATTTATCTCTTCTAAATTTGATTTATTTTTTTTTTCTAAATCTTTAATCTTCAAATCATAGCAAATTCATTATCAGGGACCTATATAGCATCTTTCTTTTCAAAGTGAGGAGTAGCAGAGGGAAAAAATGATTGAAAATCAGAGAACTTGGAAAGTCATTGTTCAACAATAATTCTATTAAATCGTAGGGGGGTCAGGGGTGGGATGGTGGTCCATCTTCTTACAATACTCAATTTCATTCATACATTGCTACAAATTGGAATCCTTATATCTTTTGCATGTATATTGCTTTGGTATGCATTAAGACAAGCGCGCATGTGTCCCTCGACGAATAAAATACATGTATTAAATTAAGAAAACTTACGTACCTGTCCTTCCAAATCCTGTTCGACTGACTCACTCTGTGTTCTTTCAGGCACGGAGAGTAAAGAGTCTCCGAAGGCATCTTCTGATAACAGAGAGCTTCCAAGATTTTGTAGGACAGAAAAAGAAGGCTCTAAATCCAGCAAAGATTCTCCCAGTTCATTTTCTGATTCACTTTCCTTGTTTTCATTTTTCTGCTGAAATTCGTTTTAATTTAAATTTTGTTTTCTCGTACAAATTGCACTTTATTTAATTAATGCGATTCATTTATTCAAACTGAACAGGCATTACTTACATTGGGTGGTAATGGCGCAATCGCCAATGAAATCAATGAGACGATACACAATATTCCTGACACATACATTTCAGACTGAATCAGCGAAATGGTGTGATTCAAGCAACGGCGAAGTTAAAACTACCCCCCCCCCCCCCCCCCGGTCCGTAACGCTTATCTTCCCATTAGCACTGCATCTGGCTATATTCGTGTATTCTATATAAAAAAAATCTAACATTCTTTTTCTATATCATATCCTTTTAGAATATAAAGGAAAAATATTATTTTTCGAAATTTGTCCTGTATAAAATAATTGGTAAAAAAAATGTCATCCCGATTTAATTTCATTTTTATTTGTTACCGGTCCGTCAACATATTTTTATCTCTAGAGCTACAATTCTGCAGCTAATTTGTTACTTTTCTTTTGAAAGTGTTTTCTTCATAAATCTTTTAGTATAAGAATACATAATAAAGTAATTTAATTTAAAATCCTTGGGGTAATTCTTTAAGATTTCCAAAAGTTCTTTACCGCTCTCCGTTTAGTAGGACCATGGATATGTTTATATAATACATGTACGTTAATATAATAAGTATACCAGCTTTTAGTAATATACGCAATCTACAAATGTTTCACGATTGGAATTCAAAACAAGGGTAGAACAAAGATTACAAGTAATAACAAGGTTCTAAATAATGGTTAGAATAAACGAGTTAATATTTCTCCATGCCTGAGGGAACTATTACATGTTTAATATAGAGTATTTATTAAAATACAAATGCAAAAAATACCTCCAGTAATATATTTAGAAATTCAATCACTAATATTGAAATAACAATTCAAATTGCCGTAGATACAATGTAAGTAATATTCTAATAAAGTTTAATTTGATAAATGCTTGTCTACAGAATTTTTAAACTGCAATCAATTATTCTCTCTGTCTTTCTCTCTCTCTCTCTCTGTATGTTTTTGTAAAAAGGAGACATAAGGTTGACCCTCAAAAAGCCTTTGAAGAAGACCCTCTCATTATTGCTCTTGCTAATACCAGATAAATGCAAAGTCTGAAATTTAATCATTTGGCATACTTAACATAAAAAGATTGTTTTTCCCCTTTTTGTGTGTGTGTTTTGTTTTTTATTTTGAACTTTAGTAATGTAGTTAGGAAAGAGAAAGAAGATGATAATTTTTCCGAAGGAAAGAAATGATTAATTTAAAGTTTCTTTTTAAAAAAGATGTTAATACCGATTAATTATAATAAGAATATCTCATGCTTTAGGATCGTATGTCTCCGTATATATGTAGTTTTTTCTTTGTTTATCACCAACACATTGTTCAGTAATAAGTGGTATCGGCTTGTGAAAAAAGTCTTTGAGGAAGTATGTCCACCATTCTTCCTGCTGTTTACACTGTGTTGTAGATCAGATTGCATACGCTAATCGACTTCGCGGGCAATTGATAATCGCTTTACGAAAAGCAGATATTTGAGATAAGCTGGAAGTGATGATTAAGAAATACTGACAACTATAACCCCCGTTGTGTTGCCGGACTGAACAAAAGCTGGGGAATATAACATGTAAACAAAACGGACCATTAAGATATTCGTGGGAAATTACTGCAATTTATATTATGTCAGAATTTCAATTAATGTTAAAAAAGTTAAGTAATGCTGTTAAAATAAAAAAAAATGAAAGTCTTTTTGACCACACATGTAAAAATTCCACGAAATTTTCCCGATACCAATTTTGAATTTACAATGCAATTACGTGCGTAAACCAAGATTCCTCGGTTTGTTTTAAACATCACTGGTGAGCCCCTCTGTTTTGTCTCATCTCCAGTATGAACAATGGAAAATCCTGGAACGTTTCATTTTGATTAAAAGTAATTTCCGCGATTCATTTCTTCCACTCACTCTAAAACTCAGTTGGCAAAATTTGACCCGCGGTCAAAAATAATAAAACAGATTTTTTTATGAAGAGGAAATCTACCAAAAATAAAAAAAAATATAGCTTCAAAGGATTAAATGTTTAACACGAAATTGACAGTAAATAGAGTCTTAAGTGAAAAAAAAAAGTTTATTATATATATTCCGATTCGAAATTTAATTTCCATGTTTATGATAACAAATTGCTTATACAAGAAATAAAGATTTATGTAATATTCAGCTTTGCTCAGCAGCAGGCCAATATTCTCTCATGAATAATTTATTATCATTCAACAATTTGTGCATTATAGATGTCCATTTGATGTTATGGGGTGTTGATTAATTCTCTTTTCAACAAAATGTAGAAATTTTTAAAGTTATTCAAACCTTTTTAAAAGAATGTGATCGATTCTCTGAAAAATTTTAATTTTTTGTATATGTGACATTGTGTTCTGGTATCAAGAGTTTTACAGTCTTTGACACTACTAATTGTTACTGAAAATAATTATTCTTTACTTTGGCAATGTTATAAAATTTTTAATAAGAAGAAAAGTATATCTAAGTTTTTTTTCAGAACTTGTGTCTTATCCTTTTGGCTTTAATTGTCAATAAAATTTGTTCAATTCAATCCAGCAGACCCATTAAATACTTTCTGGTAGATGTGAGTGCTGACAGCAATAACTCTTAAATTTACAACATACTTGTTTATCCTTTATTCAAATAATTAAACGTGTGCAAAAACAAGGACAAGAATGTTAAGAGTTGACTTGAAAAGATGTTGTCCACCTAATCAAAAATAGTCTCTTTTATATGTATTGTTCTTCCTTCCTTCATTTTTTTTCTTTGATAGATGTACTCCATGCAGTCATTTATGGTTTGTTATGCTAGATAAGTTCTTGTATCGTAACGTCAGTTATATGATTTGATTGTACTACATTTCATCGAACTGAAACAAAACATGTATTGGAAAGCGATAAAAAAAATATCATTTTAAAGTATATGTTTATGTAGCATTATCAATCTATAATTCTATTTATTTTCTAGATATACTTGAATTACTCCTTTATTCCAAACATTAAAATTATAATTTCTATGCTTTTTGTTTATTTATAGACACATTCTTAAAATTGTGTAACGTTATATATACTCTTAATTTCTTAGTTTCGCATAAACGCACGACTACGAAAACACCAATCATCTCTTGGCGGCCAGTAATAATTAAATATTAATCGAATATGATTGGTCGCATTGATAAAGCAGACCCGCCCACACTTTCTAAGAATATTTATCTGAACATACATATACCGAATTTTCATGAGTTCCAGTTATCTATTTCTTACAGTCTTAATACTTACGCACAACTGGAGTATACAAATATGTGGACTTTTAATATTAATGGACATCTTTTATTGGACAACAAAGACAGTGGCGAAATTAAGATGATCAGTAGCAGTAACAAGTTTGGGATGATCAAGGTAAATAAACATTTATCTAGGCAATGTTTACGTTAAATACACATTCTTCTTCATTGCTAGTCCAATTCTAATTTTACTTGGTAGGATTTTTTTTTTGTGTAGCATACATCAGTGTACATGATCCGCACTAAATTTTACACCCCAAAACTTACATATGTACACTGTAATGATTTTAAAACTCTCATTACGTAAATTCAGGTCTTTGTTAAAGAAATACTATTCTATTTATGTATTTTTATAATTATTCAGGTCACCTTAAAAGAGGGAAGAAGTCTCTTTCTGACGCTGAAAAATTTTGATTCCACCGAACACGCGAATTTTGATAAAATGTGTCGAACATCAAGGACAGCGTTTCTACAATGGGCAAAAAGAGAAAACATGTGTGTTCAGGTATATATATTAAGTAAATTACAGTCTAATTTTGATATTAGAATATCAGTATACTCGTATTAGAACTGATGAAGATGAAATGATATGTTTTAGTGCATTTTTAAGTTTAATAACTTTTTCTCTTTTCGGCTACGAGAAAGTGTGAATAATTTTACTTCAATACACTTTATGTATACATGTATGTAGGACCAAGTTTAACATGAAAATACATGTAAGATTAAATAAGAATGAAGAAACTGAATATATGAGGTGTGTTCTTTGGTCCATTTTCCACATTGTTTAAATACTTGAGTAAGAGTTGATGTTGAAAGCCCCCCCCCCCCCCCCAAACACACACACTTTCTGAAACGGTAAGGGTCAAATGAGATTCATGGAGTATGTGGATCTGGTTCTGAGGGGAGCTGAATCTACCTGCACCTCTTCCCAACGCAAAATGATTTTCTAGATTGGGCATTTTGGGGTGGGGTGACACGTTTTTTTCAGCCCCCTCCCTTTCAAAAATATGCTTCGCCACTGGAAAATGAATGTGAGTTAAATTGCTTTCAGTACTTAAATGAAAACTATAAGGAAAAAATCAAAGTTAAAACAACATGTATGTGTGAGATTTTGTGTTATTAGCAGTTTAAAATTAACAATGGATATTGCCAACTTGTCAATGTACATAAGCACTATTTTTAATAACGTATTAAGAATCAATATTGTTGAGTCCTTTGCCGCCGCAGTTCAGATTTATAAGAAAGAATTGCCAGGTGATAACAATGAGGCTGCATCGAAAACGATGCGACTAAAAAAAAAAAAAAAAACAAAAATAGAACTCAACGGGAGGAGGTAGGGTAGGTGTGCGGAGTTGGTTGATTAAGTCCCAAAGTATTATGTCTGTTTGTGCCTGTCTGTGTATGTCTTTATTTATAATGAAATATTTGATGAAATAAATGCATATTGTCAAAAAATATGTACAATTCATGTAAATTGTAGGATCTTGCTGCGGTTGCCAGTTCAACAGAAGCCACGGGAAGCAGCAATGCGGCGAGTGTTTCCATTGAAAGTAGCTCATCTCAACAAAACAACACTGCAGATGATAACAATGATGCAGATGATCAAATAAACACTGTGAGTAAACATATTTTTAAGATATGATAAAAATAATGATAATCTAAAAGATAAATTGAGCACCTTTTGACACAGGCACTTATAGATGGTCTGCTTATTTTATAGTAATCCGGAATTAATGCGTTCCCTTAATTATGTAACAGTTCTAAAGAGAAACATAAATATTGATCGTCCCTGCCCAGTATTTTGCCGACTTGCAAGTTAAAATCGGAAGTACCAGTAGCTTTACTTGAATCATTGAGTATGTTTTTAATTTAGGTTTGACATGTTGGGGGGGGGGTGGGGGGGTGGTCTTAAATATTTTAGGATATTGTAGCGGACCCTGGTGACAGGGTTAGGATAAAATTGTACAAAATGATACTGGCCGAATACTCGTTCATTTTTTTTTATTTTTATTTAAGCCCAATGTCTACACATTTTTCTTAATATCATCAAATATAATGTTGCTCCCCATTATTATGTAACTAGTTGCAGATCTGTACCACTCCGGAAAAAAAAATTGTCAGACCGGAGAGCTACAGTTCCACCCATTGAAAAAAAAACCTGTAATATATATATGTTTATTCCGCACAAAAAGTTTTGCTTAGTTCTGGATTAATTCGATCAAATTCTTTTCCCAATTTCAAACATATACATTAAGAAAAATTCCTTACTCTATGAAGTACTCTCGTAGTTGACATAGATCTGCAAAGGGACGTTAGATTGGATTATCTTGCAAACCAAAATGACAGTATAAATTAAAAATTAATGGACGATATGTTTGATGATCTCAATTTCAGGACCAGTAGGGCTATTAACAACAATTATAAGGATTGTTTTGTTGTAGAGACAGTCAAAGAAACTGTTAGGAACACACGGTTAATGATATTTTAAGATGGAAGTTTAAAAATAAGAAAGAATTGAAGTAAATCGAGAATCGGCGCATTATGTGCTCAATAAATATACCGGTACATTGTACAGTTTTTTCAATGGATGGCACTGTAGTTCTCTGGTCTGTCTTTTTAGGTCACCTGAGTAAACTCAGGTGACCTATTGCTATCTGTTTTTGTCCGTCGTCCGTCGTGCGTCGTGCGTTAACATTTGAACATTTTCAGCTTCTTCTCTGCAACCACTGAACCAATTTCAACCAAATTTGTCACAAAGTATCTATAGGTGAAGGGAAACAAAAATTGTGAATTTCATGATCCCTGCCCCCCTGGGGCCTGAGGGGTGGGGCCAAAACCACTAAAATTAATGCAATCTTTAAAAATCTTCTTCTTTACTCCTGGACATCAAGCAGTCAAACTGTTTGCATGATTGTAATCAGCAATGAGTCCTCTATCAAAATTGTAAAATTCATGGCCCTGGGGTCAGGGGTTTTAGTGCTAGGGTGGGGCTAAATTAGTAGATAGTGAAAATGCATTATTTCTTTGAAAATCTTCTTCTCTGCTCCTGGGTATTAAATAAACCAACTAAGTACATAGTTATGATGAGCAAGAGTGTCTATACCAAAATTGTGAATTTTATGGCCCCAGGGTCAGGGGTTCTGGTTTTAGGGTGGGGCTCTATTGATTATATAGTGAAAATACATGAATTCTTTGAAAATCTTCTCCTCTGCTCCTGGGTATCAAATAAACTAACTAAGTACATAGTTATGATGAGAAAGAGTGCCTCTACCAAAATGATAAATTTTATGGCCCCAGGGTCAGGGGTTCTTGTTTTGGGGTGGGGCTCTAATGATTATATATTGAAATGCATGAATTCTTTGAACATCCTGGTTAACATGCTTATGAACTAATTACATATTTAAGGCCAGGATTTATTTTATTTTCAGTTTTACAAACCCTCCGCTCAAGGTTTTGAATGTTCAGGTAAAAATTTAACAATTTTTTTTCTTTCCGATGTCAAATTTGAGTCGGGATCGAGATTTCACATTTACGAACTCGCACTTCCGGTTTAAAGCGAGATCCTGAAAGATAGCTTGGTTCAGTGTAAAATTCATCGATACAAGTGCCATCTAAAATGTTTCACCTGTTCAAAGGACAAATAAAATGCTGACGACTTTGTTGCACAATGACATGCTGGTAAGATAATTATGTATTTGTTTCAAAAGTATCTGTCTGTAAATTATTTTCCTCCCCCAGGTTCTAAACTGCCCGTGGTAGCTGTTGCATATTGCCAGCGGGCAGCAACATTGTTTAGGTCTCTGTTATAGCTTACAGTCTAAGCATCATTCTTCAGAAAAGGGTTGCTTATGCATCAGATATAATGAATAAAACTATGGGAGAAGTTCAGTCCATTTGAGGAAGAAATTGTTAAAGCAAGATGAAGAATATACAAATATATACAGGCATGTAGTATTATTTGTATCAGCCAGAAAAATTATTTTACTCTTGATTGAAAAAATGTTCACCCTACACCCGCAATACCCCCTGTCTGTTTTATGATAGGATTAAATTTTAGAACAATGTCTACACATTCACCTAACACATATTAAAAAAAAATGAAGATATATTGAAAGACTTTTAAAGAATTGATTTTTTAAAATATATTTTGACCAACATCACAAAATTTATATAACTGGCCCAAACTGGCAGATGATGAAATAAGCAATTAAATGTTTTACTTTCCTATTTGTAAGCATTATGTGTCTATTGGTAAGGAGCCTATTATAATAGCATAAAAAAAGAATGAACAAATGTTAATAATTGATTTAAAAAAAATTTTGATTTCCTTCTCCTTTGGGACTTTTTTATTCTCATGCTCATAACTAAACCTAAACAAAAAAAATGCTGGCCTTATAATGAAGAAAGGGGCCTCTTTCAAAATAGATACTTTCAGGGACGCTGGGTCAGGGGTACCAAGGGGGTACTTTGACAAAAAATAAATTAATGCTTTGAAATTTGCCCTTTGATAAGCAATGGTGCCTTCTTCAAAATTTGTGAATTTCATGGCTTTTGGATTAAAACACGAACCAAATGCAATCGCTGGAAAGTTGTTACATGATACTCAGGTGACCTATAAGGCCCGTGGGCCTCTTGTTATTTTTTCTGGAGAACTACATATCTGCATATATATATAAAGTTGTGTTAAGGTTTTTGATTGTAAATAACTGCGCTCGCCCCAACGGTCGCACCGTAGAACATATTACAGTGTACATTTCTTAAAAATAAGTTATAGTATCCACTTGTTTCATCCAATGAGGGTAGCAGTACATAATCTTAAAGGAAAGAACGATGCACTATGTTAATAAAAGTACTGAATCCCTAAAGTCAACTTCATCATTCCAAAAATGTTTTGTATATTTTAACTAGAAAGAGGGTTTACTTTTAATTGAATATGTTTACTTCATCTCCAGATTATAGGTCAACTTTGGACCATAGGCACTTGGGGTATGGACCCCCCCCCCCCCTTTCCATTTTTTTTTCTTTTTAAATCTGGCTTCGATTCACCTTTTACCTATTTTTCTATTCTAATATGCACTATATGTTATCAAAAATGCAACTCTTTTGTCTCTACAAGCTGTTTTTAAAAATGCCGTTTTTCACTGATACATATAAAGAGAGTGAAAAACGGCAATTTTAAAAACAGCTTGTAGAGACAAAAGAGTTGCATTTTTGATAACATATAGTGCATATTAGAATAGAAAAATAGAAAAAAGGTGACTAGAACCTAGATTTAAAAAGAAAAAAAAAATGGAAAGGGGGTTCCATACCCCAAGTGCCTATGCTTTGGACAAAAGATAATTTAAAGTAGTTCTATACTCGCACTACGTCATTTACGAATAGTAAAACCGGAACCGCAATTACCTTTTCCGAGATGAGATTATTTAACTATATTGGTTTGACTTTTACTAAGCGTTTTAAATATCCGGTAACGATTTTGCTCGAAGTCGGTCGCGTCAACAAACACATATTCTACAGTTTAAGGATAAATTAATTTAAAAGAGAAGGATGGAAATAACTTTCGGTTGACAGAAATAATTAGGTAATAAAACGATATTTATGTGAATGATGCATGTTTTTTATGCCGCGCCGAAAACACTTGCTATATACATGCTACATCAGAATATGTATCAAACTATCAAGGCGACTATCGGCGGCCAAGTTGAAGCTAAAAGTGATGATTCGGAAGAAAAGTAATGACTACGATTTGACTTAGACAATTTATGGATTTTACTAATTAAACATTACAAAATTTACTTTGAATAATAATTATTGCATTAAACACATACCCCCCTCCCCAACCAGCTTACCCACGAATCCCAATGCAAAATTATCTTTTGAATAAGAATTTGACAAAAGTTGATTCACTTGCAGCACACTTCGTTACTTTCTGTAGCAAAATCATCCAGTTTCTGAGAATCAGTGAATTACTTTCATTTTCATCGTCTCCAATTTACAGACAAGTGCGTTTTATATATTTATTTATTTATTTTTGAGTAAAATATTAAAGATAAATTTTAGGGACAATAGGTTTGGGTGTGTATAATTATTGTTTTAAATTGTGTACAACCTTTTTAGTACAAGTATACACTCAAACATTAACAGTATTACAGAAATCCGTGGCAATATATTACTTCTGGTAGAAAGAAAATAGGGGGGTCTGTGGCAACGCACTTTGAAAAAATTACGCACTTTGAAAAAATTTTTCAAAGTGTGTAAATTTTTTCAAAGTGCGTTAATTTTTTGACACACTCAACGCACTTTGAAAATTTTTTTCAAAGTGCGTTAAGAATGCACATAAACATTTTTTACCATGGAGGCATTTAACGCACTTTGAAAAAAAGATATGCATGAAAATAAAAATTCTGGATTTAGATTTTATAGTAATAGAGGAAATCAAATTGTAATAATTATATATTTCGAAAAACGTTTTTAAATTTACATGAACTCATTTAAAATCTTTGAGAACAAGGAGAAGACGAGTAGAAGGTCTCTCATCCCAACTCTTTTTTTCTTAAACATTGTACATAGCCGTCGGTAGCAAATTGAAAGTTGTCCCCACAGGTAAGCCCCAATTTTTAATGCATACATGTATATATTAATTATGTATATCTTTGAAAAATATTTATAAGCCTACATGTAACCCCCTTTCCGGTACTGATGCCTATGCTACACCCAAATATATGTGTTCACATAACTGGTATGACGTTGAAAACTTTCAATAAATTTAAGTTAACATAAAATGCATGCAAACTTGAAAAAAAATTAAGTACAGTAAAGCATTTAAGCGAGAAAGAATTTTCAAAGTATGGAAAAATCAAAATCGCTCACTTTCACATCCTGAAGTGACCTCTTCACAGAAAAAGTATCAAACAGGTTCAATTATTTATCATACCTAAGATTTGCAGGAATATTGACAAATCCATACATATTTTTTCAAAGTGCGTTAATATGGTCCATATTAACGCACTTTGAAAAGAAATTTTATTTTTTCAAAGTGCGTTGACTTAGTCCCAAAATTTAACGCACGTTGAAAATTTTTTTCAAAGTGCGTAATTTTTCAAAGTGCGTTGTAACAGGGGTCCCTTTAGTGTAGAGCTCATACCACGAAAAGTAATGCGTCAACATATATTTTTTTTAAGCTTATTATTTTTCTTAAATATAATTTATTAAAAATAATGCAAATTTACAAAGTTTGAGTCCATATTTTTTTTAAAAGACCGAGATTGTCCTGTGAAGCATATTTTCTCACATTAAATTTTGATACAATAGCCTAACAAAGTGCATCTATTTATAATAATTCATGCAAAACAATGATATAATATAGTTTACTAACATGTTTCTACTCTATTTTGGGTATTAAAGTTGAATATTTAGACTTAAATTAATTAATATACAACAATATCTAGGATAGGTAAAATTTCAGTATTTTACATTTCGGGGTATATACTCAGATAGGCTATAGCGGAAAAGTGAATATGTTGACATATAACTTTTCTCGTGTCTATCCATTGCTGGGATGTATGTCTATCTTATAAAAACAGATTTTTAAAGATTGAGCCCATTTAGTGCCGAGTATAGAACTACCTTAAATGATATATCTTATCTCATGATAAAATAACGACTGTTAGATGTTTCTAGGCAAGCTATGTTAGAAAATATATCAAACTCTTCAAAGTGTAATTTATATCAACATTTAATCGACAATTCATGTTTGCAATGGTATTTAACAAATCTATTGACAACAAATTAAGACAACTATTAACAAAATTCAGGTTATCTATTCACACGTTGAATATTGAAACAGGTCGACAGCATAACGTACCTAAAAATAATAGATTATGTACATGTTCTAATCTTCATGATATAGAAGATGAATTTCATTTATTTTGAAATGTCCATTGTATATTGATACATTGTATAAGAAAGAAATTTTTGAAATAAGTATTATTATGCTAGACCTAGTGTCTTTAAATTAATTCAGCTGTTAATTTCTCATAATATTAAAGATCTCGTAAATTTGGGCAAATTTTAAAACGCAGCAACAATGTTAAGAAAAAATAAAATTGATGTATAAAATTATTCCCATGTATGTGTTCTTTACATGTACGTTCACTCTCTCTGAATGTTTTTCCTTTTTGTTAGACGGGGTCACGTGACCCCGTCTTTTAGTTTACTCTCAGAGGTCTAAAAATAGAAAAAGGAAGCGGTGGTGATAACACATGAATTAAATCTACGCATACGAAAGAGTGCAGAAATTGTGTCGATCAAAACATAAACATTTTGTATCAAACTGAAGAAATTGATATGAAACTTTCTCTAACTCAACTAATAAAGTATTTTGATAATTTAAAACTAAAAATATTAACTGTAAATAACACTAGTAGACAAAGTACTATCCTGCGTATTATTATGGCTGTGTACGCATCATCCATTGTTTACTTCCGGAAAATTTATTAGTTCGTACCTGATGAAATTCGGAGAAGTTCAGAAAGGTTTCTAGACTGAGCAATTATTAAAATTTTTCTTCAAATCAAATTAAATGAAAAAAGTGAATGTATATTTTTCATAGTTTTGTTTTTAGAATGTTAATGAAAAAATAAAAGTTGTTATTAAAACTCGTTAAAAAAATCACACTTGTGAAATCTAGCATGAAGATTATTTTGACCCCGTCTTTCAGTACTGTCTCAGTACTTTGATTATTATCATGTTTGTTGTAACTCGGATAAAGAAACTAAAACTGAAAAGGTGCAGAAATGAAACTCCCCGAAATAAAAAAAATACTGACAAATGTCTCATCTCAAAGTTCTCAGATATCGAACTACAAATGAATGTCAATGAAGGGCAAGTTGGACTTGGATAGCCTCTGGAAAGTTGTTTTCCCTGTTTATTTTGTCCAAATGTTAAGACTTGAAAGTGAAAATACAAATGTACACTGCAAATGGCGGATTCTATAGGGGTCTTGTCTTTATACATGACATTCGGAGACCATTCACGTCCAACTTGCCGTTCAATGATAAACATATATTATTTCTACAATGTTGGTTATCACAAAAGGACAGAATTAAGCAGGTGCATTTTTCGAAAAAATGTTCACATTTTCTGAAAAAATTTTTCTCAAAATTTTTTTTTTTTATTTGTTATTAAGTAATACCTATTAATCAGTGATATATTTACAAAATGTAAACGTTTTGACTTCATACCATAACTTGTAAAAATATTTTTTAGACATGTTGACCTTTGACGAAACCTTAACCTAATTATTCCAGAACACTGACCACTGCAGCTGGTGTGCTTAAATTTATTATAGAATCCAGTCAAAATAATACAGAAGCCCATTAGTGCCAACCAGTATATATAAACACATGATAAAGGAAAGGCAATAAACACTTTATTTATGAACCGAACATGGATCAGGCATATAATATTCAATCTCAAATAAGCTGAATACCGGTATATTAAGGTTTAGTGCCCATGAAAAAGCTCAATTGACTCGAGCGCGTCAACTCGCAGGCCCTTCAGGCCTTTGATAATTAAATATGATCTTGTATTTATTCTTTTCAGAATGAATCAAAACAGATTGCTTTTAAAGATCTGGACACAAAGCTGTTGGGTAAGTTTTATTTGTGACTAAGCGAAAAATCTGTTTATTTTGTGTATTATAAATTGAAAATTTTATATAAATTATTCTAGCAAATTTTATGCACTTTGAAAGAAAGAGGGTACGGTTAAAATTCAACTGCTTTACTCTCGCTTGAACGAGACAATAATTATTATTTAATAAATATAACAAACGTTTCTGCTCTTCTGAGCTAAGAGCTCGAGTGAGTTTTTCTGATCACCCGATGTTCTCGTTCGATTGTCTGTATAAACTTTTGACATTTTTAACTTCTCAAGAACTGCTAGCGCTGAAAGCCCCCTAATAGGGGGAGATGATAATGAAAGGACAAAAATAGGATGGGGTCATTTAAACATATTCTTAGCCTGGAAAGCTGAAACTTATGTGGAAGCATCCTTGGTAGTGTAGATTCTAAATTGTTAAAATCATGACCATTGAGGGTAGGACGGGGCTTCACTGGGGAATCCATGTTTTACATAGAAATATACATACATGTAGGAAAAATCTATAAAAACCTTCTCTCAAGAAGCAATTGGCTAGAAAAAGCTGAAAAATTTCATGAAATATCATGGGATGGTGTAGATTCTAAAATAAAATTGTTATAAATCATGACTCCCGGAGAAAGGGAGGGGCCACAATAGGAAATCTTAGAAAAGCTTAAACTTATGTGTTAGCATCCTGAGCTAGTGTAGAATCTAAATTGTTAAAAGTATGACCCCTGAGGTTAGGACGGGCAACTATAGGGAATTCAAGTTTTACATAGAAGTAGGAAAAATCTTTAAAGCTATTCTCCTCAAGAATTAAGCAATGAATCAGGAAAGCTGAAATTTATATGGAAGCATCCTGGGGAAGTAGAAATTCAAAATTTAAAAATCATTACCTCTGGGGGGTAGAACGAGGCCACAATTGGTAATCCAAGTATTACACCCAGGAAAAAAATCTTTAAAAATCTTCTTCCTAAGAAGCACTGGGCCAGAAAAGCTTAAAGTTATGCAGAAAAATCCTGTGGTAATGTAGATTCTAATTATTAAAATCATGACAGGGTAGGGGTGTAGGGGGCCATAAAACATGAAAAAGGGAATTTTGGTAAAGAACTGCACGAACAGTTACTCAGATGAACGATGTTGCCAATGGGCCTCTTGTTAATTTTTTAATTTAAATGCTTATATAATATACCGACAATTGTAATTAACATGATTCTTCCACAATCAAATGAGGTGTCTGTAAAAAATTATAATTATCTCTACTTTATAGGAAGAAACCTACTTGTTCCAATCTGCAATTTGATTGAGCCTGCACCTTTAAGAAAAGTCAGGGATTTAGACCAATCCCACGTCAGGGAACTGGAAAAACAACTTATTGATACCCCGCAAGTGTTTTCCGTCCTGATTGGTCACGTCACTGCTGAAGATGCATCACTGGATGTAGTGCAAGTGGAGGGATTCCCCCACATTGAGGTTTTGGGAGGAAACCACACGCGGCAAGCCCTTCAAAATTTGATGAAAAGGGAAGGAAGTATTCAGAAGGTGTGCATTGATATTTATAAGAACCTCACACCAACGGAAGCAATGCTCCTTGGGCTGAACCACAATGCCAAACATGAATACTCCAAACAGACTTCATTCGTTGAAATTGTAAAACTGTTTAGGAAACTGCGGGAAGAGTGTCAATCTAAAGAAAAATCAGCCAAAAAATGCGCACTTATGTGGAGAGGACAGGCCGCAGTGATTATGGGAGTGAATGTAAGTAATATATATGTTTACAAAGTTTGTTTATTATTTTAAATTTTGTCTCTATAATACTCAATTTTAAGAGACCACTTTAAAAAGGTAAAGTAATCTTGTTTTAACGGGGAGGGGGGGGGGGGGGGGGGGGGGCTGTGCCTTTTGTTGCACAATACGTGCTTGTATTTCGCGCATTACAGTAAAATAAAACGTATTTACTGTTTTGAAGCATTTTTTTTCACTTGATTAATAACACTTAACAAAATTAAAAAAAATTACAGCTTGAAAAATAATATTTCAATTTTAAATGACTGAGTTTTAGCTCACCTGAGCACCTGATCACCTGTTGTCCGTCCGTCTGTCTGTCTAGCTGTACTTCCGTCTGTAAACATTTATCATGAACCACTGGGCTAATTTTAACCAAACTTGGTACAAAGCATCCTTGGGTGTAGGGGAATCTAAACTATGAAAATCAAGGGCCAAGTCCTTTTCCAAAGGGAGATAATAAAGGAAATACAAAAATAGGGTGAGGTCATTTAAAAATCTTCTTCGCAAGAACAACATAGCCAGAAAAGCTGAAACATATGTGGAAGCATCTTGGGAAAGTGTAGATTCTAGATTGTAAAAATCATGATCCGCTGGGGTAGGGCGGGGCCACAAATGCAAGTTTTACACAGAAATATATAGGAACAACCATTAAGAATCTTCTTCTCAAGAACATCTGGGCAGGAAACACTAAAACTTATCTGGATGCATCCTGGGAAGTGTAGATTCTCAAATTATGACCCCTGGGAGTAGGGAGAGGCCACAATAGGGAATCCAAGTTTTACATTGAAATACTAGTACACATGTATATGGAAATATCTTTAAAAACCTTCTTAAGAACTAGAGCCATTGGACCAGAAAAGCTGAAACTTATGTGAATCTCAGGAAAAAGTAGATTCTAAACGGTCCAAATCATAACCCCGGGGATAGGGCTTGGTCAAAATTTGTATTACGAAGGGGGGACTTGTTAAAGAACAGCATGACCAAAGTTTCTCAGGTGAGCGATGTGGTCCATCGGCCACTTGTTATAACTATTTCATACTGGTAGGTAATTTAAAGTGACGTCATAATCGTGTGTTTTTGGTGTCAGATAACGTATTTGGTAATGCTCTTGAGGAAGGAGCAAAAAACAATGTTATAAACGATGATAAAAAAACATGCTAATTCTTTTGCGGAAGACTAAACTAAAGAATTCCTACAGAACACATCTCCACTGCGCATCAGTAGATGATGAATTGTGGATTCTATTAGACGCTTTCTTCCAATCCTGGAAACTTAATAAAATAAGAAAAAAACCAAAGGGCGAAATAAAACAAACGCATCTCATGGCATGGACGCAGTGTGTAGAAAAAGAGAAAGGGGGTCTATTGAGGCAGATTACAAATGGAGAGCTTGATTTTGCCAAATTCAAAGAAATGTGCATAAAGAGGTAAACATTTTACACGACTTCCATAAACCGATAAAACATTAATCTCATGAATTACATATTTGAATTTCAATATAAATTCAATATAATTGGTCTACAAATGAATGCTGAACACATTTTGTTAATCCATGCATTTCAGTAAAAAATCGCTAGCTGTAGTAGAATCAGACGTCCAAGAGATCCAAGACAATCAACAGACAGGAGAAGATGAGTAAGTATCAAACCATCTCTTTTCTGATTCTTCTGTATGGCACTTGATCCAAACTCGCAATGTAAATTATATTTTTTAATAACCAATTTGTTTATTTAATCTTTTTTTTTTGGAAGATAAAATCTTATCTCTACAGCAGGCAGTAATGCAGTAATTTGTAGCGATTTAAAAGTTGGCAAATATAAATGATGCTCTTTAACTATTTATAATGTTCCACGTATATAGAATGAAATATTATTCTACTTCATTTTTCATTAGGAATGTAATCACAAGTAAAAAGCAAGCAGGGAAAGATGGCGAAGAAACTGAAGTTAGTGATAATGAAAATTCCACCAGGTACATGGATGATTATTGTGTATTTAACAAGCACGTAGCAATAAAGGCCCCCCCCCCCCCCACTTTTTCCCCCTTTCCATTGAAAATGTACATTGAGAGGTTGGTTCCCCCCACACTTCTTAGCACAGTATAGTGATATGAAGGAAAATGTAGAATTGTATGCCAAGATGCCAAGGGTTTGAACCTGAAAAGTGAAAGGAAGTTTTCCTTAAAAAAGTTAGCCAACAACCCCCCCCCCCCCCCCCCCCCCCCCCCCCCCCCACCCTTACGAAATAGGATTCTCAGGTTCTGGCATTTTTCCTTCTTTTTTTTTTTTTGCTTGTTAACTTTTAGAGGTAAGTAAAAAAAAAAATAAAAAAATCTTTCGTAGCCCCCCGCCCCCACGCCCCACCCTTTCAAAAACAATGCTTCGTGCCTGTTAAAGGCGCATGTAATAGAAATATATGACATTTGTAATTTAATAATAAAAGACTGTAATTCATAATCTAAATAATGAATTCTCGTTGAACATGTATATTTAATTGAATCTATGATTGAATTACTAGCAATGAAATGTCAATGAAAAAAGAAATTGATATCAATCTTAATTCTTCAAACATATTTTTTTAGATCAGTTTCATTGAGAGAGGATGAAAGAGATATTGATATTGCCAAACCTAGTGAAACTATGACTGAAAAAAAGCTTAAGGAAGAGCAGAGGCGAAACGAGGATTTGTGTAAAGAATTAAGAACTGAGCAAGAGAAAAATGAAGAATTGAAGACAGAAATAAATTTGCTTAAGTCTGAATTGACAGAGGTAAGTTTAAAATTTGTATAGCAAATGAGTAAATAATTTGTAAACAGGTGTAGTAGTGTATGTGTTTATATAGGAGTGGAAAATTAAAAGAAATTACATGACACAATCAAGGAATTATGAAGCTTTTTTTTTTATTTTTTAGACTAAGAAATGGTCCCAATCTTGGGAAGAAAAATATCATACAATTAAGGTAAGGTATAAAGGTGAACCTTTCTGCTTGATTTTTATTTGTAAAGATCTATATATCATGAGTTTAAGTATCAAGTAAATTTTTAATATCACATTACTTAACTTTGAAAAAATAAGTTTTTTTTTTACTTAAAGTAATCCATTCTTTTCAATTAAATTGGGTACTAGTTAGATTTTTTAGAAAAGTCTAAACTTTGATAAAAATGACTTTTATTTGTTAGGCGATATGATTAAACCTTTAAAATGTAACTTATACTTGACAGCATCAACATGCAGAAATTCATCAAAAATTGATACAACAACAAGATGCTCTGAAACATGCTGAGGCTGCTGCCGCAAGAGCACGGATGAAAAGCAGAGTAAGATAAGAACACATTACTTGTGCCATGTTCTCTAATATCCATAAACACAAATGATAAATCTGCATATCGACAATCAAAATTTTTTTATTTCAATTTTTGGAAAAAAATGTCCTTTTTTACCAGTACATGTACATTTAGGTACCCGGTATACCATAAACTGTACAAAATTATCCAATCCGCTACATTATTATAAACGATGAAGACAAATATAATGTCTTATAAATCAATAATTTTTGATTTGGCAATTGATAATTACAGATGGATAATTTTTAAGTTAAGAGACAAAATACACTCACCTCTCAATTCAACGGTAACAAATATTGTAACATAAAAATTTAACCACAATAACGTCGTCTATATCAGGGCATTATGCGTACAAATCCAAGGCTCAGATCTGAGACAATAGTTACCATCGCTATAATAATTGGATTTATTTTGTAAAGGAAATAAATCTGATCATTTCATTTCAGATCGAAGAAGAAACAAAGAAAAATGATCATGAGGACACTCTACCAACAACTCAGGTAAGCATGCATAAACAATACACGTGTCCTTCCTTATCTCTTAGAACATAAATTTATGCATTATGAACCCGATCATAGTCACAATTATAAAAATTAAAATCCCATGATTCCGTGAAAATCAAGGACGAGGAAAAAATGCAGTGATATGCTTGTTAAAATAAGTATAGCTTACTGCAATAAAAAAATTATATTTCAAGTTTTCTGATACATGAAAAACACCCTAAAAAACAGGTTGTTCAACGACTCTTGAAACATGTTTTTTTTTAATAAGGATATTCACATACGAAACTTAAATAATTGTGTTCTTTGATTAATGTCTCTGTCTATTTTGTAGAGCGAAGTCACTGAAAAAAGAAATGACAACACTGCCCCAGTGCTTCATGACAGCACTTCCAAGGTACTTATATTCTTATACACTTATAATTGTGTTCCTCATATCAGGTACCATTGATTCATAATAAAAACAAAATGCCTAGCTGAAAAAAAAATTAAATTTTAGTTAAATGCAGTTAAACAAATGAAATTGTAAAAAAAAGAACATTATATATAAAAGTCATGGTAACTGTATTGAAATATAAGCGATATTTAGACAAGGGTAAGAAAACGTAATAAAGGGCGAGGCTTGCCGAGCTTTCATGCATTTTCGACCCATGCCCAATTATCGCTTATATTTAAACAGTTACATGTATCATGTATTTTGTTTATCCTGCAACATATCTTTTATTACATTTCAACCTCCAAAACGGGCTATTTTGGACAGATTTAGGCATATCTATGCAGTTCAAACTATGACGCTAAGGTGATATGGCAATTGCAATATACATGACTTCAAAATGCTTTTAGAACGTTGGAATACATGCAAGAGGCTTTATTAGGGCAGTGACCGAATAAAGTTTTGGTTTATTAGGTTACCTTTATTAGGTCGATGTAAGGGGTAGTAGAAGGATAAAATCTTATATTAATTTGATAACTTTCGATATATTTTACTATATGATTCATTAAGTCACCTGGAGTTTGGCAAGCTTCAAATTCTGTACATATAAGAATTAACACATTTTATACTTGATATTGCAATTACTCAACTTAGTAGAACTCTTTCGCAATGGAGGTAAGGAACGTCTGTTCGCTGGGGAAATATGTGCTATTGAATACAATGCAAGATCGATCATTGTAGAATTCATAAGGAGAGATAAGTTAAAAAATCCTAGTGGAATAACTTCCTTAACAATAGCTGAACTAGCCTAATTAAATATTGAGAGAAGTTAATCCTTGATTGGTACATTTTTAACGATATTTTAACTAAGCGGGCTCTTCTCATTAAATTTTCATCGAAAATTGAGGTATTTCATAGCTGATAAAATAAACTTATCTTTCCTTATTTGACAATCTACTATTTGGAATTCAATTCTCAGCAATTCATTGTACTTTCTGCATAAAATTGTTCAAATTATTCGATTGTCACTACTGTAAACAATGCCATGTGCCCCGATAAACTTGTGAGATTTGAGCTTTCTCGACTCCCCTGCAAAAGAGTGGTAGTAAGTTAAATAACTGCGAGGTAATCGCGATATTACGTATTGTATAACATATATACCGTTATACGTTGAACCTTTAAATAACTTACTTCATATTATTTTTTCTACTTTAGGGAAAGAAAAGGAAACAAAAAGAAACTGAGGAGGAAGAAATGACTGAGGTAAAACATTGCATTTATTACTCTTCGAGGGAAAAACTGCTTTATTTTACAATTAATACATGTATTCATTGCAATATTTTTTTTTACTAATCATATAAAAGGGCATCCCCTGAATATTTTATTTTAAAATTTTAATTATAAAATTCTTTGCATTTATGTAAATGTTAAAAAGTACATTAACAGAAGTTCACAATTTTATAAAATGAGAGTTTTAAAAGATTATGCTGTCAATATAAAAATCAAGAACGTTTTGGTCCATGGTTTTTTTTTTATATTTCGAAATGAAGCTCGTTATGTTGTTTCATTAGATCAAAGTGCTTTAAAGAGGGGAAGGTATTTTATAGCAAAATATTCGTAGGAAAAACATCAATTGATAATTTCAACCTGTTTTGCTGATGCAGTATTTTAAATTTTGTCTACAGGTGGATTGTGGATTGGTACTATATGGTGGAAAGATCTACTTTGGAACTTTCGAAACATCGGAAAAATTTGTGTTTTGTAAGTTACCAATTGCAACAATCAATGCGGAGAATGCTGTCATAATCGATGAACGAGCTAAGACACGCGAAATCAACATGAGGGACTGTCAGACAGTAAACAAAGAGGATATTGTTATGCAACAGAAAGGACAAATCGATTCCAAAGGCAATGTTCTAATTGATGTAACAGTAACTGCAGTGAAGGAGGCCGTGAAAAAATTCATCAGAAAATGATTATAAAACACTGGATCTCCTTGTTAAAAATGTATCATTTCATATAATTAATTGCATTCTTATTGTGGCTACTTTGTAGATATGCTTGCTCTTTTCAGTAACAAAACTATGAAATGTTTAAATTAAGGAATTCATTTAATAGCTACCCATTCTATACGGTATAAACTGGGTTGGGGCAGTTAACGCTTTATAAACTGTGAAGCGATTTATAAAAAAGCGTAAACTGTTCCAACCCAGTTTACACTGTATAAAATGGGTAGCTATTAAATTCATTGCTTTTATTTTAATTTTCATTCTTTTGATGTAAGAAAAAAAGATCATTGTTCTAAAAAAATGACTTTAGATTGTACAAAATTTGAACCTAACGTCAGGCGGATTAATACGTTTTTTTTACAAAAGTCATCGATGGTTGTATAAGCTTGAGATTTGGAAATTGTAATTGTAGTAGTGAACACTGTATCAGTGATAGAATTGGGGGGAAATGTCTCCCTAAAATCTAACTATGTAAACAATGGTTGGTTTGTTATTGAAATAATGAATGTACAATGCACTAATGTGAATTTAGAGAGGAAATTTACCCTGCAGATTTTGTGCTTTTTTAAAAATTGAATAGTAGTTGCAAACACTGTATCATTGATATTCTTTGGGAGGAAATTTACTCCCTAAAATCTAGTTATGGAACGATGGTTGTTAAAGCTTTAGATTTATTTCTAAATGGTCACTTCATAATGTGTGTTGAGGGGAAATTTACTCTGTAAATGTTTGCTATTTTCAAACAGAAATTGTAGTAGTGAACACTTTATCACTGATATTCTTGTGGGATGAAATTTACACCATAAAAATTTAGCATGAAAACGATGTTTTCTTTGGCTTTGAAATACTGAATTTACAATTCACAAATGTGAATTAAGAGAGGAAATTTATTCTGTAGATTTTTTTCTATTTTGAAAATGTAATTGTAGTAGTTAACTCTGTATCAGTTAAAGTCGTTGGGAGGAAATTAACTCCGTAATATCTAGCTATGTAAACGATGGTTGTTTAAGCTTTAGAATTCTAAATGGACACTGCTTAATGCGTTTGTTGAGGGGAAATTTACTCCGTCGATTGTTTTATTTTAAAATTGTTATTGTAGTTGTGAACACTATATCAGTTATAGTCTTTGGGAGGAAATTTACTCCGTAAAATCTAGCTATGTATACGATGGTTGTGTTGGCTTTGATATACTCAATGTACAATGCACCAATGTCAATTTAGAGAGAAAATAACCATGTACATTTCTGCTGTTTTCTTTGGGAGGAAATTTACTCCGTAAAATCTAGCAATATAAACAATGGCTGCTTTGGCATTGAAATACTGAATGTACGATGCATCAATGTGAATTTAGAGAGAAATTAACCCTGTACATTTTTTGCTGTTTTCTTTGGGAGGAAATTTACTCCGTAAAATCTAGCAATTTAAACAATGGCTGCTTTGGCATTGAAATACTTAATGAACAATACACCATGTGAATTTAGAGAGGAAATTTACTCTGTAGATTTTTGTTATTACAAAACCGTAATGTTAGAAGTGAACACTGCATCAGTGATATTCTTTGGGAGGAAATTTACTCCGTAAAAATTTAGCTATTTAAACGATCGTTGATTTGGCTTTGAAATACTGAATGCACAGTGTACCAATGTGAATATAGAGAGGAAATTTACTCTGTATATATTTTGTATTTTGAAATTGTAATTGTAGTTGTGAACTGTATCAGTGATATTCTTTGGGAGGAAATTTACTCCATGAAATCTAGCAATATAAACAATGGTTGTTTTGGCATTGAAATACTGATTGTACAATGAACCATGTGAATTTAGAGAGGAAATTTACTCTGTAGATTTTTGTTATACCAAACCGCAATGTTAGTAGTGAACACTGTATCAGTGATATTCTTTGGGAGGAAATTTACTCCGTAAAATTCAGCTATTGAAATGATTGTTGCTTTGGCTTGAAATATTTAATGTACGATGCATCAATGTGAATTTAGAGAGAAATTAACCCTGTACATTTTTTGCTGTTTTCTTTGGGAGGAAATTTACTCCGTGAAATCTAGCAATATAAACAATGGTTGCTTTGGCATTGAAGTACTTAATGAACAATGCACCATGTGAATTTAGAGAGGAAATTTACTCTGTAGATTTTTGTTATTACCAAACCGTAATGTTAGTAGTGAACACTGTATCAGTGATATTCTTTGGGAGGAAATTTACTCCGTAAAAATTTAGCTATTTCAACGATGGTTGCTTTGGCTTGAAATACTTAATGTACAATGCACCAATGTGAATTTAGAGAGAAATTAACCCTGTACATTTTTGCTGTTTTCTTTGAGAGGAAATTTACTCCGTAAAAATTTAGCTATTTAAACGATGGTTGATTTGGCTTTGAAATACTGAACGACAGTGCACCAATGTGAATTTAGAGAGGAAATTTACTCTGTAGATATTTTGTATTTTGAAATTGTAATTGAAGTTGTGATATTCTTTGGGAGGAAATTTACTCCCTAAAATTTTAACGATGGTGCTTTGGCTTTGAAATACTGAATGCACAGTGCAGCAATGGGAATGTAGAGAGGAAATTTACTCTGTAGATTTTTGTTATTAGCAAACTGTAATGTTAGTGGTGAACACTAATATCCACACCAATAAATATCTTGTAAACTGTGTTATTTGTTGGATTTTGTCAATACCTTAGGGCAAAATGCCTAAAACAGAAAAAAAGATTTTCTGTTTTAATTTTGGAATGCGTTCAAGATATATATCACCATTTACATAATAAACAAGGTATATACCACCATTTACACAATAAACAAGATACATACCACCATTTACACAATAAACAAGATATATACCGCCATTTACACAATAAACAAGATATATACCACCATTTACACAATAAACAATGTATATACCGCCATTTACACAATAAACAAGGTATATACCACCATTTACACAATAAACAAGATATATATCACCATTTACACAATAAACAAGATATATACCGCCATTTACACAATAAACAAGATATATACCACCATTTACACAATAAACAAGATATATACCACCATTTACACAATAAACAAGGTATATACCACCATTTACACAATAAACAAGGTATATACCACCATTTACACAATAAACAAGGTATATACCACCATTTACACAATAAACAAGGTATATATCACCATTTACACAATAAACAAGGTATATACCACCATTTACACAATAAACAAGGTATATACCACCATTTACACAATAAACAAGGTATATATCACCATTTACACAATAAACAAGATATATACCACCATTTACATAATAAACAAGATATATACCACCATTTACACAATAAACAAGATATATACCACCATTTACACAATAAACAAGGTATATACCACCATTTACACAATAAACAAGGTATATACCACCATTTACACAATAAACAAGGTATATAACACCAT